TTCACAAGGTCTCTCAGTACGTTGGCTGAAAGCCACACGTTATGCATTTGATTAGGTTTAACTATGCTAGATAGTTAAAGAGATACATTTACCCCTAGGCGGCTTGGCCGCAATAATAGTAAATAAATGACTTCTGGTTTTGAAGCATAAAAGTTAAGGTGTTAACTTTGAGCCCTGGTCTTGGGCTGTAAGTGTCCTTTGGATAAGGAACTTAGTATTAGTGACTCTTTGAGTCGAACGTCTTCCTCTGACGCTAAAGCTACGGCAGCCCCGCTGCACTATATCTGGGGCTATCCATGAAGTCACGGAGACTCTTGTACCCGTTGTCCACTTGGAATTGCGTGAAGTTTTCCTGCGTCGTCACTTCCTTTTTTTCGAGAAACGACAGTGGGTTCCACAGCACACGACGCTCCTTGGACGTTGCATTTACTCGCGTCCATGTCGGAGACGGAACGTACACGACCTGGTGAGCTTGAGTCGGCAACAGTAGCGTACTAACGAGCACCACGACGGACGAGAGAATTGTTACCATGAAAGATCAAGTTGTGTCGAGTCAAGGTCAACTGAAGAATGAGGTTGATAGCCCGCCCCAAAACCGATGGCGTGGGATACCGCAGAGCAGCATTTTACTGTTTGTACAAGTACCGGCAGTAATACTGATAGTTCAAAGGTTTCTCCCTTGCAATATCGGAGTCCAAGCAGTGTATCCCGCTACTGCAAGGGAAAAACAATGGGTGCTGTCAAGTGCTTCCACGTCAACAGATGCGAGCACACATCTAGATAAAAGTAAATCGCATCTTCGAATCGGGCTACTGGGAATGTAGAGGTCAAACCAAGTCTATCAAAATAACGTGGGTGTTTCCTTTGGGCTCGCTAGTCACGTCGAGATAAAGTTTCTTAAACGTTTCATTATAAAATTATAGCGTTTCGTTTGGGTACCGGTACCCTGAGTCTTAAGAAAAAAGTCAGACGTGACTGGCTTTTTTTTTAGAAGTGACTTGGATATTTAGACCGCGTTTTACTATGATTTTTGATGATTTGATGTTTTATACGAAATGCCTGGTTTCCAAATTGATAATTGTCGTGGAAATGAACAAGTAGGCGACATCTCGGAGTTTGTATGAGGACTTAGGAATTTTGGCCGCCGATTCGTGACAGTATC